CACCTCCATCACCCGCACCCATCCACCATAGCCAACCTTCACTTACCTTCTTCCACCTCCATCACCCTCACCCTTCCACCATAGCCAACCTTCACTTACCTTCGTCCATCTCTATCACCTACACCCATCTATCATAGCGGACCACCTCACACCTTCTTCCTCCTCCGTCACCTACACCAATCCACCATAACTGACCACCTCGCACCTTCTCCCTCCTCCGTCACCTACACCCATCCACCATAGCCGACCACCTCACACCTTCTCCATCCTCTATCATTTTCCTCGTCCACACAAAGGTCCTAGGGACCCCAAGGGGCAAGCGGGACCTTAGGAAGGACCGGTTAAGGTAAGTCAAGGAACAAGGTCGATTAGGATGTGAAACTCCTCGTTTCCTCTCTCTCTCTCTCTCTCTCTCTCTCTCTCTCTCTCTCTCTCTCTCTCTCTCTCTCTCTCTCTATTTTTTTCCCTTAAGCCCGCTTGACCGTGAACTCTCCCATCACCCCTTCCCCTCCGTGGCATGTGACTAACCTCTCCCCGCACCCGTTACATTGCCAGGGAACGAACGTCAAAGAACTTGATCCTCACTTGGTGGAAAGCGAGGGCAAGGGGAGGCTGCCGATTCCTTGTGCCACCAAGAAGGAAAAAGCACCGGACTTTTGTGAGCATCTGGGAAAGTGGAAAATAGTGAAGTTTTGTGACAAGGTCAGTTCAGTCAACCATTTTTCCTGACTGCATGACTAAGGAAGAGGCATGGCTTGCTTGAGGGAAGGGGAAGAAAACCAAGAGGGACATGGGAAGAGGAAAGAAATTAGGTTTGTGGGAGGGGCGATGTGTTGACCCCAATGGGGATCGTATTTGGCTTTTGTTTCGTGTGGTCTTGCGCGTGTGGGTATCTTTGGATGGTTTGAGCGGGACTGGATCCGCGGAAACACGGGCAAAAGCGGGAAAATCAACGAGGAATGGACATGGGCCTAGCGTAAACTATGGATGCGGGTGGGACTTGGCGATCGTGTGCTTGGGAAAGGGGACATGGCCTGTGTGATGGATGTGTATCTTAATGCTCTGCGTGCAAATATGGAAGCCTGAAAAGACTAAGGGCGACAATGGATATGCGAATAGGGTGTTTGTCAAGCAAAAAAAATGTAGGGGCTAGGGGTATGGACGACGCGACTACACCCCGATGATGCCGCAGGGATTGCCCCGCTTAGTGTAAAGGTATGTGGCGCAATGAATGACGCTTGGCCTACACACGAAAGAAGACGAACTCTCAATAAATTTTCTGGACTGCCTGCGTATTGAAAGGAGCAATTGCCTGGTCATACTTAAATAAATCGAGAAAACGCCACGAGTGATCAAAGAGCTACTATCTATCGCGAGAACGGAGCTACATCCCCCAATGTAAGACCCTCTCGCAAATGGTTCATCCCCATCCATCTCATAGCACTAGGTGGGGGTGCCCCTGGGATGAACGACCTGCGCCGGGAGCGTGAGCGTGGGCGGGTCGAGCCAAATGGGACCCGCAGTGGGGTCGACTTAGGCTCGAAAGTCCTTCAGGATACGACCCCTACAAAAATGATGGAGTTGCTGGGTAATGGGTTAAACTGACCCATACGATCTCGAAGAGGGTGCCCGACGCATGACCGTGTACACAACCAAAGATAAGGAATGAGGACTTGTGTATGCTCTGTTCCCCTGAGTGAATCAGATTTGAGGGCGGCTGGGCGCATGGCAAAGTCAGGCCTGGAGGAATAACATACATGCTTGCACATTTGATCAACCATCTCCCTTGGAGGTGACTCTAGTCCTCCTTCCCTCGAGCTGATGTTCGTCAGACCGGGGAAGCCTTGGGCAAGCCGCAGGTCGATCCTTCCTCTTCGTGCGAAAGAAGGGTTTCAGTTACCTGGCAGGCGGTTGGGATTCCGGGTCAGTCCGGGTTCCGATGAAAATCCCGCGGCGGAGTGATCCGACCGACATGGGTGTCTTCTCCTCTCTTCTTCGGAGCCCAACGGGCTCCTTGCACTACACTTGAAATGCTCGAAGGAACCTCATATGAACATAACGGGTAATCGAGAAAGAACAATCCTACCCTATGAACGGACAAACAAAAGAAGATAAGGGAATGAAGGGAGTTGCTAGACTCCAAATAAAACTAGCTCACCTTTGAAGATGCTCACGAAAAGGATTTGGGCACTATGTATGGAAGTTAGGGGTGAGTGACACACACAATCCTAAGAGAAAATTGCGAGTTATGGGTAGGAAGCGCTAGGTACACCAAGGGAAAGACATTTGTACTATGTGTGTCCCGCTTGGGACTTGTGTTTGCATGATGGGGATATTGAGCGTCCTGCCTTTCGGAAGGAAAGGAGGGGTCTGCACTGGCCGGTGCGGGTTGCAAAACGTCGCTCCCTTTTTGTAGGCTGCCATGGGTTCGTGTGTGGAGGTCGGGTCACCGAGCTGTCGGACGGGAGTTTGTCACGTCGGTTGATTAGTAGCATTCTCGTTTAAGCGGTGATGAACCTTGCTCAATGATCTGTCGGACGGGGTGTGAAATCTCCTCATGCGGGGCTTAGCCTGTTGGCTGGCGGAGGGAGTACCACTACATGTGGGCACAGACGGAGCCTCGAGGACGATTAGTAGCTTCTCGTAACTTCGTGTAGGAAAGGCTGTTCCTTATCGGACCGATGGAAGTGAATGCCCGGACGACTGACTTTTGTCCCTGTATTTAGGTACACGGGGTAACCCTCGGTGTCGGTATGGATGAGTAAAAGCGGCAATACGGGATGGGGTATTCTGGGCAAGAAGGTGAGGGCGACCCCCCACTGGAGTCTGGGTACCGCGCTCGCGACGGTTGAGCAGTGCTTGAGGTGTGAGATAAAACGATGCCGATAGTAACAGTGGAGAGATCACTTTTTGGAAAAAAGGCCGGTGAGGAGATGACCGACCTACGTGCGATGTTTGCCTAATTTTTTTCTTTTCGTGCCTCCCTCTGTAAAGTTTGCTTGAGGATGTTGGGAAGGGAACTGAGCCTCTAAGTCTATTCTCGCCCCTGCCTAAGTCCGCACGAGTGAGAGAAGATGTGGGTAAGCATGGATAGGAGTCGGGAGGAAATGAAACCAAGAAGAAGGAATGCTGGCTGATGGTGGCCGATTGGGGCACAAGCGGTTATGGGGTAGCTGAAAATTCAGGAATGAAAATTCTGAAGTAAAAGTTTTGGGCAGTCTGAAAATCCTGAATGGTCCTGAAGTGGTGAAAGGTCCGAAGACCTTGAAAACCACCTGTTTAGGCAGGTTGCATGCTGAAGTGGTGAAGGGTGTCCTGAAGTGATCAAGTGAGAGTTTTGGGCAGTCTGAAAATCCTGAATAGTCCTGAAGTGGTGAAAGGTCCGAAGACCATGAAACCCACCCTTTACCAGTTGAGGATGCACGCTGTCTAAATAGGTGGTTTTCAGGGTCTTCGGAGCTTTCACCACTTCAGGACCATTCAGGATTTTCGGACCTGAATGGTCCTGAAGTGGTGAAAGGTATGAAAACCCTAAAAACCACCTGTTTAGGCAGGCTGTATCCCGAAGTGGTGAAGGGTGTTATGAAGTGGTGATGAAAAATACGACTGTTGTTAAGCTTCTCTCGATTGAGGGCACGATGGGGCAGCGACATCTGGGAAGTGGGTAAGGAAGGTTAGGGAGACTCGGATAAAGGGTCTGAAAAAGCAATTCTCATCTAAAAAAGGGACAGCCTGATTAAAGAGGGACCGTGTGGTGCTCTCTTGTGGAAACAGGGCCGGAGCTAAAAAACGGAATGGCGCGATGGTTCCCATCTCCTACCTATTCTAGTGGTCCGAAAATGCTCATAGATGTTAAGGAGGGGGTATCCGTCGTCCTCCCGGAAGAAGAAACATGGACAGACCTGGAGCCAACCTACCAAACTGTGATGCTGGATGAAAAGAATGCGTTCCTCTGGATAGAGACAATCTGGACCAAGGTTAGCCTGACGAGACTGTCGCCGAGCTTGATGGACTTAGAATTCCGGGGGACGGTGGAGACCCGATGCTGGGTCTACTTGTCCCAAGAGATGAAAAATGCAATGGGAATAGAATTAGTGCGGGGAATGGCGCCGGATTCGCTGTTCAGACAAGCGGAACGAGAAGTGGTATGGGCGGCGTGTCAGCGGGCGGAAATGGAAATGGATAAGATGGAGGTGCGAGTGGAGCTAGGGGATAGGAAAAATGTGAGGCGGCCTCTTAGAACAATGAGGTGCGTGCTACCTCCGTTTTTGGTGGATGCAGTCTTTGGAAACCGGGGCAGAATAAAACAAATATGTTAGTCAATGACACACTTAAGGCTGTACCAGTGTGCTCGGCATGACTTCTTTAGGCTGCCGGTAGAAATGGGGCCGTTCGGAGGGAACTGGGCGAAGGAATTAACAGAAGTAATGAACCTCCTCAGCGCGGATGATGTCTTTGTACCTAGTTCAATGCATTGGCAGATAATCTATCGAAGTGTGGCAGTAGGGGAGACCTTCCTAGAAGGGATGAAAGAGTTGTTCTTTGATGGGGAGAAGAATTTCGGTAATGATGAGGACGAGGACGAGATGGAGGATTGAGACTTCTGAAAAGAGGGAGGGACTTACCTGGGGAATGGGATGTTGGCTATGTGCATGTAGGGAACGATGGCCCGAGAGCTCCAGTTGTGGGATTGCACATTCAAGGGATGGGAACCAAGGCGGATTGGAGGAGGGGTAGAGATGCCCTTACCAGCAGAATATGAGTGGAGAGAAGCAACGTGTGATTGGGTCGGGCTCGAGATCGCGTCAGAACTATCGTACCCGTAGATAAAACGTATTTGGAACCTCATTAGGGAGGAAGATGGATGAGAAGATATCGCAGAAAGAAAGGTAGAATCGGTTGGGACGATAGTCTTGTCGGAACAAGGGTGACATCTGTTCTGCACCACGATTGCGGATGATGTGTTTAAATTGTTCGAGGTACCGTGGTTTGACTAAGGAGCAAGGGAAGCCACAGGCCAGGCAAGTATGAGAAAAATACTAAAATAAGGGAGTGTGATGTCTGACCCTTGTAGGGTTCATTGCAAACTGCGGAATAAGGAGACCAAGGA